ATGAGCAAGCACTTGGCAACAGCAACAAGGTTGGGTGGGCTGCCATCTGCCTCGACTGTTAGACCAACAGATGAGATTACAGTCATTCAATTAATTTCAAGACTTGTTAACTCACAGTGAAGCGATGAAGTTACACAGCGAGGAAGAGCGTGGCACATACAGCGCTATGAGGGAGGTCAAGGCAAATACCTATAAAAAGAACATTTAGAGACTGAGATTTTAGGTTTCATGTTGCACTGGGAGAAGTCTAGCTATGAGAGGAGGAGATGTGTGTGCCAGTGAGGAGGTTGATGTTACCGGGTACATTCCTAATATCCACAAGTAGAGCCGTTTTCGTCTGGACGAGGGAATGTGACGCAGGAAGAAGCCCACCTCCTCCAGAAACACCCCCAGTAGAATGACAGCCAGGCCGGCCGGGATGAGAAAGAGCCACAGCTCATCTTTAATGGCTGACAACAGAAATAAAATAACTCCTAATGTATCTTGTTTAACTTTGAACACAGTTCCAATATGATATATAGGTGTAGTTTTCTCCATATTCCCCCCAACTTTAAAATGACAGATTTCTCTGGGTTNNAACACAACTACATATAGAACATAGTTCTAGTTTATACACTGTTTAATGCAGTAATGTTACAGATTATACATTTAATTTGAGCTTGTTTTCTGCCCGTGCTGTTGTTTTGCTGGAGCAGCTCTCACTTGCTGATTCACCGGGCTCCATCTTCTCTCCATCCCACGTATACAACTCAACAACATATAGAACATATACTGTAAAACAAATCTGTAAGTTTACAAGTTTTTCCCGTTTATTTTACAGATTTTTTCTGTTAATACAATTAACATAGCTTTTTTTACAGTGCAGTTCTAGTGTTTATAGGCATTTTAATGAGGAAATGTTACATATTATAGCTTAGAATCTTATCTAAACATTTCCTCTACTGTTTTATCCTTCAGACATTGGCTCAACAAAAATACTAAGACTAAAGCTGAAGTTGATTGTATGCAATGTTTTTATATTCTTTATTAATGCCATTAACATCCAGCTATTAAGTGAGTAGAGAACTGTACTTACCACTAAAGATTTGTGATGACAGAGGGATCTCAGGCCCAATCCAGCTACAGTTGGCCCCTCTTCCCATTCTACATATAATGACACACCTGTACACTTGTACACCTGACACGCAACAAACACACAAACATCAGGAGCAACCTGCTTGTGATTAAGGGCTGATTGACTGACAGCACCAAACTAACCTTGTAGCTCCCCTGGGTCAGAGATGAGAGGCTATGGTGTCTGGAGGTTTTTCACGCTTTTGTCCTGTCACTTCCGTGTTGACCTGAACAAAACCTGTCTGGTTGGTGACATTAATGATTGACTAAGTACAGGTAAGAGGACAGGTGAGGGATCCAAGTCCATCCTGCATAGGGCTAGAAGTTCACCTACTGTAAGAAGAACATTTCATTAGAAAAATACAGCTGTGTAGGTTAGTTAAAGCTCTACTAATCAGTATTCTAAACAGTGGGTCAAGGAATCAGTGACATGTTATCAATATACACTGATCAGCCATTACATTGTGAGCACTGGTGAAGTGAATAACACTGA